GCTTGAGCCCAGGAGTTTGAGGTTGCTGTGAGCTAGGCTGACGCCACATGGCACTCTAGCCAGGGCAACAGAGCCAGACTGTGTCTCAAAAAAAAAAAAGAGTTATTTTAACTGATCACATAGTGTTTCTAAGAAAACTTCTGCCCAAGTACAGAGTAAATTTCTATAGCACCGATCGTAAAAGCTGCTTTCTAACTTAGATAAACTAAAAATTAGAACAGAGATTACAGAGTTTCCAAAAGTAACCAAGGAAGCAAAAAGAGGATTCTCAGGACTTCTACCCTACCCAAGTCACGTGTGGCCAACACTATGAGTTTCTTAATATTAATGTTACTTGGTAGAGTCTGATGATTCCATAACTAAGCAGCCTTCCCACACTGTGAACCTTCCAAAGCCCTGTATGTAATAAAAGAACAATTAAAGAATCAGGCCATGAATGCTGGGAAGGAACAAAGGATAAGAGAATCAAAACCAACCTTTTCTCTGTCTTCCTAGAAGTTCATCCACTGTGAGATAGGGGGGTGGGTCCTCCACTTCTGGAGAAGACAGCTTCTCTTGAAGAGCTGAGGCACTTCTTAAAAAATGTTGAAAAGTCGGTCCAGTGGCCAGCTTGGAGCTGAAATCCTTCTGAACTCCATCCTCCTGCCTCTCTGGACTGGGACATGTAGTGCTGGGGAGACTGCTGTGTGCCCTGCAGGTCCTGAGCAACAGCCAGGACACAGAGGCCAACGGCCCCCACCTCAGAGACCTCTGCACTCGGAGGACACATTGTAAAGGATGCATGGCACTAAACAGCCCAACCTCTGCAAAAGAAGACAGACATCACCAGCATTTATTGAACACTATGTACAGGGTACTGCTCTGAGCGCTTCAAGTGTATTCATTCATTTACTCCTCATAAAAGCCCATAAAGAAGGCACTCTTAATAATATTGTCTCTATTTTACAGATGAAAAAACTGAGGCAATTTACCTAAGACCACACAAAGGAGTGCCAGAGATGAGATGCAAATCCAGGCAGTCTGTCTTCAAAACAAAGGAATAGCAGAGACGAGATGGAAAGTCTCTTAACAAAATAACAAAATAGCACCTTGTGCCAGGAACAGTTCCCAGGGCTTTAAGTGTGTTAACTCATCAAATCTTCGACAGCAATCCTAGACAACAGAAATATTACAATTCTTATTCTGAGATGAGGAAATAGACATAGAGAGGCTGAGAAACTTACCTAAACTCCTACAGCCAGTAAGCAGTCGAGCCAGTACTCAAAGTTCTGTAAGACTAGAAAGCTTGTGCCCACAGGCACCTTGCAACACTGCCACCTAACACTGTGAAAACCACTCACCGTCTGACGGTATCTTCCTTCCACTTCCTTCAAAAAGAAAGCATCTAACATGGGGCACTGTATGCCTCATCAGTGATTCCTTCTACCCTTCAAAAGTCTCAAACTATTGCCTTTCAACTTCCCATCCAGACCCTCTCACACTTGGCTGTGGAAAATAGCACAACCTTTATGGATGACAATTTGCCAATTTCCATCAAAATTACAAACGTACAAACCCTTTGATGAAACATTTCCATTCCTAGGCATTTATCCTACAGATATACACATGCAAAATGACATATGTATAAAGATATTCAATGCAGCAGTGTTTCTAACAGCAAATGAATGAGAAAGATCTAAATGTCATCAATAGGAGACTAGTTAAACAAATCCTGACACATCCATACAATGGAATAAGGTGCAACTGTTAGAAAACAAGACTGACAAAAGCGAGGAAACAAAGTGCTCAGTACTACCTATAGCATGCTATTCTTGAATCTGTGGGGAAAGAGGGCAGGAATATTGAGGTACATATTTGTAAGCGCCATATCTAGAGTGCAATCTCTAGAATGCACAAGAAACAACAGTTGCCTCTCAGGAAGAGACTTAGGTGACTGAAGTACAGGAGCTGAAGCCACACTTTTCACCACGTATTTTTAATGGACCCCATGTCTATGGCCTGACTGCCTCATTCCAGCCATGCCAGACATGTTTGTGTTAATCTTCACTATCTTCTAGGCTTTTACACCTGCTGTTCTCTCTGGCTGGTATAACTTCCCTCTAGTGATGTGTACAACTCCTATGCTATTTTTGGCTCTCTGCTTCCTCCAGGAAGCCTGCCCTAGTCACCATACCCAAAGTCTAGGTGGGGTCCTCCTCGGGGTTCTCAAAGCTCTCTTCTAACTCTCCATCATAAGACTCATCACACTTTGCTGTTATTGTAATTACTACTTACATTTCTGCCATCTCTTGTAAGCTGGGAGGTTCCTGAAAGCCTTTCTATACCTTAAGCATCTCCCATTCTAACAAATGGCTCCTGGCAGATGCTATACATGTATAATGAGTCGATGTGGCCCGTTACCTTTCCAACCTGATCACCTGCTATATCTGCCAGCACTTAGGCAAAAGCAATACTAACCTACTTTCAAGTGTCAGAGAACAGTAGACTTTTAGTGTGAGATTTAAAATCACCCATTTCTACCCCTTAATTACAGTGTGTTGTTTGGCAAGACAAATTCCTGTCTCTGAGCCGCCAATTCCACATCTGTAAATAAAGATAAAAGTAGCACCTATCTTCCCAGAGGTGTTATGAGAATTAAATAAGATATTAAACACCCAACTTGGGATACAGTAAGTCTTCAGTAACCATACATTCACAGCAAACACCTGCTTTCACGGGGAGTATTAGAGAATCCTGGTAAGAGCATGGACCTTAGAGTCAGAATCTAACCCCACTGCTGCCTAGCGAGGTACACCTTGGGCGTCTGTCAAACTCTGGGAGCCTCCATGTCTTCACGTGCAGTCTCCATGAGTCTACTGTGAGGTCAACTGTGATAGCACAAGTAAAATGCTTTGCATAGCACAGTGTAGGAGCCTCTGTGGGGGCTCGAAATTAATCTTGGGAGTCGGTAATGACGCTGGAACAACAGCCCGACATGCCAGACATGGGATGGTCACAATGTGTTAGGCGAGGTGCAAAGCGCTTCCCATGGGTTACTGAATTTAATCCTCACAGCAACTCTGTGAGGTAGTTTCTACTATCATCCCCCGCCCCACAGGTGACGAAGCCAAGGCTAGTCACACGGGACTAGGCAGCGGGGCTAGGGTATGAACCCCGACTCCAGGCCCCGCGCCGTAACCACCGTCCCATCCTCCCCTTGAGCACCGCGCATTTCCAGGGCCCCGCGGCCCCCCCTGCCCCAGACGCTAACCAAAAGCCGGACGCGCAGCTCACCTCCCGCAGCCGAGGGCGCAGCGTCCCGCAGCCAACTCTCTGCCGGCAGATCGGGATCCTCCCAGCAGACCACCACTACGGGCGTATACACGCGACTTCCGTTCCGCTGCGACTTCAGTCCGGGCACTCTAACGGAAGTGCATTCTCTTTACAGTCCGGGTGGACCCAGGCTCCCGGCTTCGAAAAACATCCGTGGCTGAGCTGAACCATAGGGTAGCCACTAGCCACCGGCGATGTAGCAATAGAGCGTTTCCAAGGTAGCGAGTGCACATTAAATATGTTCTAAATGTAAAATACACACCGGGGCCGGGCGCGGTGGCTCACGCCTTGCAATCCCAGCACTTTGGGAGGCCGAGACGGAAGGATCGCTTGAGCCCAAGAGTTCGGGGCTTTAGTGAGCTATGGTCACGCCACTGCACTCCAGCCTGGGCAACAGAGCAAGACCCTCTCTCTGAGACAGAGTCTCACTCTGTTGCCCAGGCTAGAGTGCCGTGGCGTCAGCTTAACTCACAGCAACCTCAAACTCCT